GGGCATTTGCAAGATCTGGGCTTTGGCACTGGCGCACTGCATAGCGCCGTGAGAGCAGAATTAATGCTGCTTCTCCTCACCTTCTCAGCCATTCCCTGCTGGGTCCCTTTCTGCAGGCTTTGCTCTGGTTTTGGACCTGGGGCTTTCCCACCATGGGGTCAGGAGGAAGAAGAGGATGATGTCCTCTTGTCAAAGGGCAAGGTCTGAGGTCCTGACAACTCTGCCCAACAGCCAGGAGTCAGGGTTGCAGAAAGGTTTGTTGGTGTCACTGACACTAGGGATGCACTGATTGTCTCCATGGTCCTTGTGGGGCCACTCCGGCAACAGGAGCTGCTTTGCCCCACTTCTCCCCACCTCACCACAGGGCACAGGGCCAGGCTATGCTCTGCTGCCCTTCCACACCTTAGATACCTCTGGCCCTGCCTAACCAGCTTCCTCAGCAGCGGGGAGATGCTGGTGCATGAACCTGGGTGTCCTCCAAGGGGGAAACAGAGGTCGCACTGTTGTGACCTGAACGCAGACAAGCATAAGTGAGGGTGTAAGCACAGGAGCAGGGCTGCGGCCCCATGTCTGATATAGGAGGGCCTGAAGAAGGCTTGGACATTGTTCAATATGCTCTAGCAAACCCTTTACAGTGTCCCTGGCATTTGCTTAACGCTGCCACCTTCAGCACCTTCCCACAACCAGCCCTCCCATCATGTCTTGGTAAGCCACCCTATTAAGATCTTGCACCTGCTCTTCCCAGCTAAACCTTGCTACCCCATTTTGTCCGCACCTTCTTTTCAGCCTTTTGGCTTCCTCCCCTTAGCTATGGGGTCATCCTCTTACCCTTAATTATCCCTTCAGTTCACCTGAGGCACATTTTACCCTTTGCCCATAGCCTTATCACAATGAGAGCCTATAACACCCCACTATATGCATGCAAAGGTGTGTTTGCGTTCTCACGTGCTGTTCCACCACACCTAGCTCGACTCTGTACTGTGAGCTCTATTTATTACAGCGCAAGAGTATGTGTAGACCAGGTAGCAGTGACATTAAGGCACAGCAACACCATTGGACATCTTGCCATTCCT